CCAGAGCTAATCGTCCCCAAAGTGGGAGCTAAGTAATCTCCCTGAAACTTGCTGATGGGGGTATTCGGGAGAGGGCCTCCCCACAACTTCCAGAAAGTTACCTGAAGCTCCAGCACTAGCCTCTGCAGGAGAGGGAGGCAAAGCTCCGGGGCCGGCTGGGTCTCTGCAGCGCCACCGAGCGAGCGGCAGCCGCAGAGGGCACAGAGGCCGTCGGCGCTTAGGAGAGCGCGCCGCTCGGTTCCCCGGAGCGTCAGCTCTGCCGCAGTCTGCGCCGTGCCGAACGCTCAAGAGCGGCTTTCGGGGCTCAGGGCCCCCGGCGGGGTTTTCTGCCTGGACCCTTGAAGTTGTCTGCCAGCTTCCGTGTGCAAACTCAGGGTTTCCAGAGCACACCCTGGGCGCTGCAGACCCCCGCCCTGTTCCGGAGCCAGGAACAGAGCCCCGCCAGCCCCCTGCGGCCGCGTGAAATTGGGGTGTCGGTGTGATGGCCCCTCGGGCCGGTGTGCACTGCCAACATGCAGATGGAGAAGCGAGAAGCGCCGTGACCATCTGGTGTTGCCACACACGGGCCCCGGGTGTGTGCGTGCGCTGGGCGACAGCGGTGATTGATTGGCCCCCGAGGGGGCCGTGCCTCCCTGTGCCCCTGCAGGATCACGATCCATCAATGTGGATTCACGACGGCCTGACACGGTCCTGCTCCCCCACTTCTGCTAATCCCGCCGATGGAGCCGCAGCCCCAGTGCAGACGGAGACGTGTGTGAGGAGGTTCACGGCTGCTGTTCTCGGTGGCTGGGCCTGGCGTGCTCCGCGCCCTGGGACAGTCAGTGGCGATGACAAAGTGACTTAATGTGTCTGTCGGGTCCGGGCTGGCCACGGGGGTGTCAGTGATGTGTCAGAGAGTGAAAAACAGCAGCTGCCCAGGGAACGTGTATGAGCTCACCGACTTGCAATCTAAAAACCGGGGCAAATGCAATCAGTGTGCAGTCACGTTTCCTGGAACCCCAAGGAGGAGGGCAGAGGCCCGAGAACCCTCAGCAGTGCTCACGCCGGGGCGGCGGGGTCTCTGGACACCCGGGGGGGTTGCTTCGGCCCGTTTTTCTTGGCGTGGTGGGACACGTTGTCTGCAGTCCACCGGGGGTGGCAGGTGCTCGGTCCCCGGCTGTGTGTCCATCAGCGCCCAGCTCCAGCGCCGGGCGTCACCCCTGCGGGAAGCCGGGGGCCCACTTCAGCCCCTGACCGCGCCCCTTCCCCTTTACCCTGGACAGCCGGCAGCCTGCCCCGGCTCTCTGGACTTGCCCGTTCCGGCTGTTCTGCGGACGGAGGCACACAGCGCGTGGCCTTTTGCGCACCTGGA